TCTCGCAAAAACGAGTTGAGATAGGATACGAAAAAAATAAGATTGGTATAAAAGCGATAGAATGAATTACCACTTCAATCATGCCGTGCAATGCTCCTCTTACTTGTTCCCGCATCGCAAGCTCATTTTCCAAGGTTTCCTTTTCCAAATAAGATCCGATAATTTTCATGTTGAGCGATGGTAGCGTTAGTCTTTAATTGTGAAAATGAGTGTAAATGAATAAGCGAAAAATTGGAACTGACTTTGCCATTCTGGTAAAAAACGATTTTTCTGTAGTGTCAACTCCGAGTTCCCTAAACATTTGCCGCAGGATTAGTCGTAAGGTTGGATCATATTGTTCACAGTTCTGGAAGTAAATTTCATCGTTTGTTGATGAAAAATAACACAATACAGTCGCAGTACTTGATGTCGAAAGAACAAAGCGCAACTTCGGTGACATAAAAAGTAATATTCTGATCCAGACTTTACTACTGAATTTTAGCGCTTAACAGTATTTGAAGAGGATAGAGTATGGAATACAATGAAAAATTACCTGAACACCTTTTGTGATACCAATAATTTGGCCAACCGCATGGGAATTTTGATAAGTGGGATCATTTGGATCAGTCCAGTCATCAGGGAACAAACTTTCTTCAGCACGGCATATTGATGATGAAATGAATAGTGTAGTTAAAGTGAGGAGGGGACTAGGGAACATTAATAGTAATGCCTCCACTAAATCGAACCCTTCTGAAATTTCAAAGATGGAGTGTATTAAGTCACTGCAAAAGAATGAACATCGTTAAACGTAAGAAGCGTAACAGCATCTTCTAAGGAAAAGAAAGCATAGGCCACATAGAAGAAGTGCATAGATATGATCTGAACACAGATAACGAATCCATAAAATAAGCAAATTAAGGTTATACGTTTATCCGAAGAAATGTAAAAGATATCGAGAGTAACTCATCCAAGATTACCTCCTAAATCGTACTATCCACATTGCTAACGTAACGGCACTTAGAGAGAACCTAAAATGCCTCTTCAAATTTTTAATTCAAATAGATATGGGTATAAAGGACTTACCATGTGAGCAGATACGATAGGTGCTCGTTTCGAACGTTCACGTTTGACTGCCCACCTATAGGTCCACCAGGAACAGTAGATTCTAGAAATATTCTACATAATGCAGCTATAAAAAACAGAAGCACAAAAGTTTTTACCGTAAACCGCCTCAAGATAGATAGGATCCGTATTGTACTGCTTAGCCATTTGAGCAAAATCTTTGTAGAACCAAAGTCCCTTTTCTGGCACGTTATCACTAACAAATTGTGGACGCTAGAATGGCGCAAGCACATAATTTGAGCTAGTAATCTTTAGTTGGAAGCAAGCGCGCCCACCTTTTCACTCTTTCTTACGACAGCTTCCAAGGTCACCACGCCTTTGGGTTGGGTAGAACTACGAGAAGACGATGAAATCTTTGATGCTGGAACCCATCCTCGGTTCACCATCACTACGAGACTGAAATAAGTGAATAAGAAAGAAAACTAGAGAAGCAGAATAGCGGAACTCACTCTGAATTTGACAGGCGAAATGGCGTTATGATATGAGCACCATGACTGGATAAATTATCACTTGATAGCAATGAACCGGCGCTTTTCTCCTCATGACCTAAAACCATAGCATTCTACTTCAAAACCCGAATCAAAAAAACGAACATCACTAATAGTCAACCTGGATCAAATCGTCCGCGAGGAGCGATGTGGAACTCCCTTTCATGCAGAAACTCTCCTGTAAGTCGCACCCTTCGGTACTCCATGCTATTGAGCTTTGAGAGACTTAAAATAGTGCGACAGAGAATAAAAGACGACTCCTTAAGAAGAGAAGCATACAACTTACTCATCAAGTGGGAAATCAACTGCGGGTTCATTTAACTGCCTCTTCAACTGTTCAATAAGGTTAAGCTTCCATTGAAGGCGATAAGTTTGCCAGCAACCAAGACAAAATGTCGTGGCAGGGATGATCTAGAGGGACAAAATTACGAAGAATAATTTTTATGAGATAAAAAGTTAAGTAGAGACACCAATATGATAAGATGTTTTGAAATTTATGCAATGTTTTCTCTAACTTCAATGAAACATCACAACCGAATGCTTGTAGCATTTATGTTTGAACTCAGCGGTCGTCTCGAGGCAAGAAAAATCAAATTTGCGAATTGGAAAAGATGTAGTACATTAAATGCGACACCTTTCTCTCTTTCATCAACGCTTGCCTATTATATTTTGCTATACATTCTTAGACAATGGTTCTTGTGTGAGAAAGTGAGTGAGAACATTTTATTGCAGTGATGTTTCTTTCTTGATTTTCTTTACATTACAATTTTGCTTAATGTTTTATTTAGTGTATTTTCATGTCAAATAAACATATAGTTCTAAGGAAAGTAGAAAAGGAGTTAAACACTCACAAGCATAGCTATTGATCCGGCAGAAAACCTTTTATCACCACTTCCTCCCTTTTCTTTCTCTTCTGTACGCTCACGACGTTTACCATTCTCCTTTGTGCGCTGGTCCAGCTAAATCTGCAGAAATTTAAAGTCAATATATTTAAAGGAGAGATCAAGTCTATTCCTA